CTGCACCTGCGCTACAGCGGGGAGCGAGGGTTACTGAGGGTGTGTCTACACTGCACCAGTGCTACAGCGGGGAGCGAGGGTTACCGGCACTACAGTGTCACAGCTGCAGCTGCACTGCTGTAGCGTAGACACTACGGCGATGGAAAAGGAGTTTTTCCATTGCTGTAGTATATCCACCCCTGAGAGGTGGTAGTTAGATCAATGGAAGAATTCTTCCATTAACCTAGTTGCGTATACAATTGTTTTAGGTCAACTTAATTATGCTGCACAAGGCGTGAGATGCTTCACAGCCCTGAGCAATGTAGCTAGGTCGACTTAAGTTTCAGGTGTAGACCAGGCCTTAGAGTCTCCTGTGCCTACAGGCACAGGAGGGAACCCATTTCTCCCACTGCTGTCCGTCTGGAGCAAGATGTCTGACTCCATCATAAATTGTTTCCATGACAGCAGCATCCTTCTTGATAGGTCATCCCGTGTCCACCATGCCTTCTCTTCCCTCCAGATGGGATCCAATCTAAGATGTACCTGGAGCTTTTGCCCCAGGGTAACCTGATGACAGGCCCAAACCACTGTAGCCATCTCTGTCTAATTACTGATTCCACAGTCTGCTGACTTGCTCTGCATAACACTTCCACATGAATTACACAATCTCTCTAATGAATTCCCAACATTCTAGACCCACAAAAGCATTTTGGTTCCTAAGTTCCATTGAAATCAGTCCATAGCTCTTCTTCAGGTCTGGGTTAGTCCAATAAAAGATATCACCTCACCTACCTTGTCTCTCTCATTGAAATCAATGGTACTAAGGAGCCTAAATACCTTTGTCGATTTGAGCCTTAAACCCCTACAATCTCCTGCTTCCTGGCCCTCCCCTTTTGTGGGAAGATCGCTCCCCTGACTTGTGATTAAGGGAGAAATCCCTGGATCCTCTCGACCCCAGTATTACTGATCCCAGGTGTTCAAAAATCATGACTCAGGCCCCAAAAACTCATGAGTTTTAAAAATGATAATACATATTGGATTCTTTTTATTTGCCTTCTGGTTTCTGAGCTTTTAGGCATCACATTTTCAAGCTTTTCTCTGCAATCACAAATGCTAAAAACTTAACATTTTAAAAAGAGTCTCGCATATTTGCATGTCTCCAGGAGCTGGGTGTTTAAGACAAACAGCAAATATCATGAGACTCACGACACAATCACAGGAGTTTGTGACACTTTGGAACTTCGAGGCATTCAAAATCCAAACCTGGATTCTAATTTTGCAAAACCCCAATTTCCTGAACCAAAACTAGATCCAAATGTCACTGACTTTGGGGAATTGGAATCCTGAACACACAGCCAATTTATTTATTTAGGCTTTTAAGCCCGTTTCTGTTGTCAGTGAAAGGAATTTGCAAATATCCGCTCATCAATTTTAGCCTTCCTTCATTCAAATGGTCTAGATAGAGTATCCCTGGAATACAGTGTGACCAGAGTCAACTTTGTGTGGGAGCTGAGCTCTATGCAGACAGAGATGGATAGAACTAGGGAGATTTTAAATGCCACTCAGTGAAATACATGACAAAGATCTTTCCCCAACACAAAGAAAGAATGTTGAAAACGCTCTTAAATAAATAAACCAGAGCTTGATCCATTCATTGTGATATTTTATTGCGGATGTAGCAGCATCTGTGTGTTGTTATGCTTTATGGACTTCTTAGAAGATACCGTCCCTGCCCTGAAGAGCAGACAATCTAAGGCCCAAATTTTACAACAACCTCAGAAAGGATGGACTTATTCTTATATCTTATTGCCCTTACATAAATCCATGGTATGCCCACATCTTGAATACTGCATACAGATGTGGTCTCCTCATCTCAAAAAGGATATACTGGCATTAGAAAAGGTTCAGAGAAGGGCAACTAAAATGATTAGGGGTTTGGAATGGGTCCCATATGAGGGGAGATTAAAGGGGCTAGGACTTTTCAGCTTGGAAAAGAGGAGACTAAGGGGGGATATGATAGAGATATATAAAATCATGAGTGGTGTGGAGAAAGTGAATAAGGAAAAGTTATTTACTTGTTGCCATAATATAAGGGGCCACCAAATGAAATTAATGGGCAGAAGGTTTAAAACAAATAAAAGGAAGTTCTTCTTCACACAGCGCACAGTCAACCTGTGGAACTCCTTGCCTGAGGAGGTTGTGAAGGCTAGGACTATAACAGGGTTTAAAAGAGAACTAGATAAATTCATGGAGGTTAAGTCCATTAATGGCTATTAGCCAGGATGGGTAAGGAATGGTGTCCCTAGCCTCTGTTTGTCAGAGGGTGGAGATGGATGGCAGGATAGAGATCACTTGATCATTACCTGTTAGGTTCACTCCCTCTGGGACACCTGGCATTGGTCACTGTCGGTAGACAGGATACTGGGCTGGATGGACCTTTGGTCTGACCCAGTATGGCCATTCTTATGTTCTTATGACTCCTGACACGCACATGGAACCCCTTTGACTTCAATGGGGTGTTGTGTAGGGGCATGGGTCTAGCAGCATGGAGATCCTACAGGGTCAGGGGCTATAAAGATAGATAATACAACAATGTGGGCATCAAATAGAGGCAGCTGAAGGATAGAGGTGTTGAGCGTCTATGGCAATGAGTGCTGCACAGTGAGTACTGCATTGCTAGATTATATTAGCTAGGCAGGCAAGGAAGGAGGAGAGATGCTGCCAGATGCTGATGCTTTCAAATCCCAGGAAGTTGAGAGCATTCAGTGCTTGTCAAGGGCTGTTCATTGCTAGCATCACAGCCATTACTACCCCAGGGTTTCAGTTTCTAGGAAAAGACCAGTGGTAGGATTAGAATCTTGTATCTGCCGTAACTCACTGCCCTGGGATATCATTGAGGCCAAGAAACTAGTAGGATTCAGAAAAGCATTAGACATTTATATGAATAACATCACAGTTATGTAAGAAAGGATAACAGTATATAAAGGATGTAAGCACTGAATCTTTTCGGCATAAGTCTGGAGATCTGTGGTTGGCGGCCCATACCCCGATTGGGGTGACGGGCATGAGTGAGTGAGTGAGTGAGTCAACCACTAATGAAAAGATTAGGAAGAAGCTTCCCGTATGGGCATTTGATTGCTTAAAGGTCAATTATAGGGGTTTTACACTTTCCTCTAGAGCATCTGATGCTGGCTGCTATGGGAGACAGGAGACCAGATAGAGCTGGGTGACTAATGTATTGCAGGTATTTGCAATTTTTTTCTTTTCCCTCTCCCACGAATAATTATCAGTAAATAATTTTTCCATCATTCGATCAGCTCTAATATGGCAACTACTATTAATAATTATTTTATTTTTTATTATTTGCATTGTTGTAGCCCCGGTCATGGATGAGGGCCCCATTGTGCTAGGCACTGTACAAACTCAGAACAAAAAGATTGGTCAGGCTGCTGCTATGATCAGACCTATACTATGGCCTACACAGTATGCACAGAAACAATGGTCTCAAGTTGCAGTGGGGGAGGTCTAGGTTGGATATTAGGAAACACTGTTTCACTAGGAGGGTGGTGAAGCACTGGAATGGGTTACCTAGGGAGGTGGTGGAATCTCCATCCTTAGAGCTTTTTTAAGGCCCGGCTTGACAAACCCTGGCTGAGATGATTTAGTTGGGGTTGGTCCTGCTTTGAGCAGAGGGTTGGACTAGATGACCTCCTGAGGTCTCTTCCAACCCTCATCTTCTATCTTCTATATCAGTGGTTCTCAAACTTTTGTACTGGTGACCCCTTTCGCATAGCAAGCCTCTGAGTGCGACCCCCCCCCTATAAATTAAAAACACTTTTTTATATATTTAACACCATTATAAATGCTAGAGGCAAAGCAGGGTTTGGGGTGGAGGCTGACAGCTCATGACCCTCCCTGTAATAACCTCGTGATCCCCTGAGGGGTCCTGACCCCCAGTTTGAGAACCTCTGTTCTATATGAATAATAACCACCAGTGGTATGGTGGCTTCCCTCTGCTCAACAACTGCCACAAGGCAGGAGGGGACCCCATGAACGCTGCCCTAGCAGAGGTTGGTGTGGGACATGCCCCCCTGCCTTATCACCCTAGCTCTCCTAGATAGATACCAGCCTTACAGCTGAACAGAAGGTTCTATGGTTGGTGAGCGTTCAGGAGTCGGCTGCTGATTGCTCCTGCCTGATTCCGTACTGGCGCCCGGAGGATCAGAAAGAGTCGAGCGGGGCGGTTCGAGGACCTCGGGTATCAATTGCTCACGTCTGTCTCTGCCCCTCTCTTTGGTGACGCCCCCCTCTTTCTCGTCCACCTGCCAAGAAGTCGGTCTCCTATTGGCTCTGACTATTGAAGGGCGCTGCTGATTGGCCTCTCCGTGGGAGCAAGCGAGCGAAGCCTTTCCATACTCCCCCGGCGGCGGCGGAGGCGGAGGGAGCGGGCCGGGGGCGGAGTCGGAGCCGTGGGGGGGAGCGGAGTCGGTCGGGCCATGTCGGCGGCGGAGGGCGGCTGGGACGGGAATCGGCGGCGGGGGGGCGCTGGAGGCAGCGGCTCGGGCGGAGGGTGCAGCGGGGACGGGCCCGGGGCGGCGCCGGCCGGGGGGCTCCTCAACCGCTTCGTCCAGCTGCCGGGCAGGCCCCACCTGGCAGGTGAGTCCGCTCCGGCCTCCGCCACAGCGCCTGGGGCAGCTCCACGCGCAGGGGGTAGCT